TACAGCTTATGTCTAGTTTTCATCCAATTTCCAAGTAAATTTGAGATCTCATACCTTCCAGTTGCAATACCATTTAATTGCAGAAATAGACCAGACTTGGACCGATTCCAGTGACCAGATGAAAACCAACATACTATACACATTGGCAGTAGGCGGGTTTAGTGAATGTAACAAACGAAAGCATTAAAAAAAATCAGTGTTTCTTGGAAATGTGTAGGCATCATTTATAAATCAGAACAGTATGTTGCAATACAATGTGTGGCTTGTGTTCTGATTGTGGAGGTATATATTTAATAAGGGCAGTGTTTAGATATATCCAATGCTTAAAATGTGTTAAAACTCACAATCACAGTGTCCATAAACACATCCCAGTGTTCTGCATACATGATTGTAGCCTAGCAAACAAAAGAATCTTGAAAAGAAAAGCTGAAGAGAAAACCATACTGTATGTAATCATGGATCAGACAGCAAGTCAATTATAAATCCAAGCACCTATAAAACTGATCACATAATACAATGTTATTAACAATAAAAAAATAATAAATACATAAAAAAGTAAATATTTGGGGCCAGTATTGTGCCAAATGAACAAGTCTTAAAAAAACAAACAATAATAAATGCATTCAAAAAAAATAAGACTTGTTAAACTATGGGTTTGTTTGCACTGCAAATCATGTAAAATGGTGAAAATTGTGAACTTCAAAATGTATACTTTTTATAGTTGTTCTTGCTCCCTTTAATACACAATCTTTCATGAGTATTATTAAAAGCACATGAATATGTATGTATATACATATGAACAGATTAGATATTACAAACAAATATGTTTAAATATTACTTTCTTCACATTCATTTTTGTAAGATTTATTTATTTTTCTTGCAAGGTCAGATATACAGAGAGGAGGAGAGAGAGAGGAAGATCTTCCGTCCGATGATTCAATCCCCAAGTGACCACAACAGCTGGAGCTGTGCCAATCTGAGAAACCAATCTGAGGAGCCAATCTGAGGAGCCAGGAGCCTCATCCAGGTCTCCCACGTGGGTACAGGGTCCCAAGGTTTCAGGCTGTCTTCTACTGCTTTTTCAGGCCACAAGCAGGAAGCTGAATGGGAAGTGGAGCTGCCAAGATTAGAACCAGCGCCCATAAGGGATCCCGGCATGTTCAAGGTGAGGACTTTAGTCACTAGACCACCACGCCAGGCCCCTTTCTTCACATTCTAATAACTCTAGCTATTCCTCTTAAAATTTGTCTAACCAGGGCCCAGCACGGTAGTCTAGTGGCTAAAGTCCTTGCCTTGCATGCTCCAGTTTCCCAGCAGCCCAAATTTCCCATCAGCTCCCAGCCTGTGGCCTGGGAAAGGAACAGAAGACAGCCCAAAGCCTTGGGACCCTGCACCCATGTGGGAGACCCAGAAGCAGCTCTGGGTTCCTGGCTTCAGACTGGCTCAGCTTTGGCAGTTGTGGCTATTTGGGGAGTGAACCAGCAGACAGAATATCTTCCTCTCTATCTCTACTACTCTCTGTATATCTGATTTTCCAAATAAATAAGTAGATAGATAAATACTCTATTAAAAATTTATCTAACCATTCTTTAAACTTCTGCAAAATGCAAATCGAAGAATTTCCACCCTACTAAATTGACTAGAATATTGAATCACTGCCCTGAATGAACAAAATCGAACATTCTAAATATTACCCCCTAAGTCAGTGGCCAATGACAATTTGAAGGCACAAAAATGTTTACTAGGCCCACCTGAGTGGCTCCCATTTCAGACAGTGCTCCAAACCTAGCATAAAACAACTCTCTCGATAGACTCATGGTCACTCAATGTAAAAATTATTCCTTTGCTTTCAATTCAGTAACAAATAGTTCAATATGGTCCAAGTGACAAAATTAAGTTAAGCAAAGAATTTTTAAATAAAACAACAAATTTCCCATATTGCATGGCTTTACAAAATTGATGATTCAAAAGCAAGATCCATGTGAAAACCTGGGCAGGCAAACGGGCCAGACATGAAGCTGATTCAGCTGGCGTGGCCTGCCTCTCCAGCAGTAGTCTGTACTAACGCATTACCTCTCTTTGTTTTGATAGAGTCCCACTAACACGGTGATGAATTGTGTTTGTAAATGTCAGACATAGATCAAAGGGGACTGTGCCGGACATTTCTTTTACTTCAACCTATGATTTTTCACCAAGAAAACAGAGCTGCCCTGCATGGTAAATTTCCTTGTTTTTACTTGAATCTTCAGCGAACAAAACAGCTGCAGAATAACGCAACTTAATGAGGCATCTCTAATAAAATACTGCAGAAGTAAAAGCAGAGGCACTGAACTGTTTGCACTCTGGTTGTTTCATCTTTTCAAATACATTAGAAAGAACTGATGACACTTTGGAGCACACCTCATTTGGGATAGGTGTTAGAAGTCTGTCAGTTTACAGCCACAGCTGACCTTTGGCTCAGTTTGACATACCCCTTGTTAAGGGCCATAATGAGAAATGCCTGGAAAATGCTGGGGAAGCCCAGCTGACACTGTTTACAGTACCCAGTCAGCTGCAATTGGTGATAAGTCAACTCAAATAAACTTTGTCGATTTCAACATAGCAATATATTTTAAGATGGTCATCACGTACTGCACTGAAAACCAATGAATTCAGCAGTACCAAATTGGGCTGATAAGGTACAAAATAATTTTCTCATAATTTTCTATCAGCCCCTGTTCCATAATTTTATAAATCTTTAAAAAGGAGAACTGGCCATGTCTACAAACAAATCTTTTTTACAGTCTTGTCATCATTTTTTTTTAACTTGGTGGTTAATAACTGCTATTATGCAGTCCCTAGTAGCATGTATCTATTTTAACATAGATCCATGACATCTCAAAGAACATTCATTCTCCACTTTGTCATTGCTAAAACAGCTAATATTTCTTGAATACAAAAGGACACACTCAGAAACCTAGGACTCCTCCCCAGCCTGACTGAGCGTTACAAAGGTGTTTCCTTCCATGTCAGGAATCTGCTGCTGCTTCCTTGGCAGACACAAACTGCACAGAGACGAGTTCAAACATCCGAAACTGCTACAGTTTTTAAAGAATCGAGCTTTTCATCTCCAAAAGGGCCCAATTTGAATAAAGCAGCACACAAACATATGCTTGACTATTAATCAACTCCCTGTGCCTAACTATTCAATAAGCAATGACACTGTTTCCAGTCTTATGTCTATAAATAACACAGTACAGCAGTTTCCATTTGAATATTGGGCAAGTAAAAATAAAATAGGTTGCACTGTGGTTACTGATGGACTTCAAGAGATTATTGATGACTTTAAGAATGAGGACTCTTAAAAGGTCAAGATCCAAACAATTGACCAAAGGGGAGATTCAGAGCAGAATAAAATAAGGAGAGATGCAGTTAAACACCTGTCTGATCTTTTATTTAAAATCAAGGATGTCAGGTGCCAATTTTGACATTCTTGGTGATTTCACATCACATGTAAGAGAACATGAGTAAATATGGAAAACCTGGAGTAAATACAAATAATCTTAGTGCTCTGATTCTTTTTTTTTTTTTTTAAGCTTTTGTGGTGTTTTGTAATATCCTTTGCTAGCTATCTCGGTTTAGCCTTTGACAGAAATCTGAAATTAATGACTCATTTGTCCTAACTTATATTGCCTAATAGAGCACTTTCAGAGTGCTAACTGACAACAACCTGAATGGTGATGTCTAAAACAAACTAGCGGAGCAGGCAGAAAAGAGGTCATGATCACGCAGTCAATAGTCACTGCAGCCCATGCAGTCCAGAGGAAGCACCCTCACACACTGTTTTGGGGGTGCTGTGCAGAGGAAAGGTTGGTTGGGCAGGCAGAGGGCTTCGCAAAATTCAAGAGGCAGACTGCACACTGAAAATGAGGGTATTTTCTGTCTCGTTACCCAACGCCAAACTCACCAAGCACAAGCTGAAAAGCGACTGGCCACCACAGTAACTACACACTGGATTCCAAGCGCTTCAGGCACTTGTGAAACACCGGGTTAGGAAGGGCAATACTGCCTAGGCAAACCCTGCGAGCGCCAGGGTTGGTCCTTTCCCAAGGCAGACTAGATAGCTCAACCTGCAGTTCTAGAAGAAACGGGACGGGACGAGGGACCTTAAACTTTCCTTAGCAGAGCAGTTTCTCTGCAAAGCGGAGATGAGTAGCCTAAAAGATGCGCTTATTGGTGGGCGCTCCGCCTTTTAAGAGCAGAGTGGGGAAAGGAGCCGCAAAGCATTTGGGCAGGAAACCCGTGTCACATTAGCAAGAGGTAGGTGACATCTATCCGGAAAGAAACGAAAAACCATTAGTTCCCCCGAAGCTGTCCTTTCTCTGAACGCTTTCCGCAAGGAGGATCCTTTCTTAAAACGCTCTTTACAAAAGCTTAGTTTCGTTCGGTAATAAGGCATCCGCGCCCAGACCTAAGCAAACCTAAACACTGATGAGGCTCGGGAACTCTTCAGCACTATTCCTTACAAAAACACAGACACAGAAACCAACAGCTTCGTTAAAACGCCAACCCCTGCAGACAGGCCTGTGCATTAACTAATCAGAAGTGAACAGAAAGTAGAGATTTCAGAAACGCGACCTGACGCATCCCAGTGAGCCTCCCTCTACTGCGAATCCCCAGTTCCTTATCAGGAGTCCAGAACGGCCACCAGCCACGGCTGGACTGGGTGAGGGACAGAATGAAAACCTACTTCAATGCTCAAACTCGTCGCTCGCTGATAGGGGAAATGGGGCAGCAGGGAGAGAGGGGGGCATCGCGTCCCGAGTCTGCTTGATTGGCGTCCCTCTCCACGACCCAACCCTGCTTGCCCCACCGGCACCTGCCCTCACCTCTTCTCCGGAGCCAGCCACTTACTACCCCTGGGGCCGGCGGGAGTCGCGGGGGACCTGAGCCCAGCGGGGCTCCGAGGCCGCGCCAGTGCCCACGGCCCCGCGGTTACCCGAGACGCGCTGCGCTCCTACCTGCAGCCCGGCTTCCCGGAGGTGGCAACACCTAGCGAAGCTCCTGCAGCGTCCGCGGGCCGGCGCCAGCCTTACCGCGCTCGCATCGCTTCCGAGATGCCAATCCGCCGTCAGCATCCAGGGGCATAGGGAACCCGGGTCCGGCGGGTGTGCGCTGGCGGAGGGCGTGCAAGTGTGGCCCGGGGCGTGCGTGTGTGCGCGCGCGCGAGGATGCGTTTCCTCCTCCGATGGCACAGAAGGCTCAGGAATCTCCCGACATCCAAACTAGAATTTCCCCCAAAAGCGATTGGAAGGTGGAGTGCAAAAGCGAGTGCTCCTCTCTCTCCCCGCCTCTTTATTCCACGGTGCCCAAGTAATCAGCAGCTGTGTTGGCGAGGCCAAACCCCAGTCCCGCAGCTCCGGGCGGACGCGCGCCGTGCGCTCAGCTCCCCGGTGTGAGGCTCAGAGCGGTCTCGCAGCAATTACCGCTCCAGCTCCATCGCGGGTGGGCCCCTCGCGCCGAGGACTCGGCGGCTCACGCACACTCCCTCACACCTGCGGCAGTCCCGGTCTCCAGCCCGCCCTCCCGTTCTCTGGGGAAAGGCAAGTGGTTGGGGGTGGTTCACCTTCGGGGAAGCAGCCTCCACCATCTAGTGCGGAGTGGCAGATGCGGTCAAGTTGCAGGGGAGACTCCAGCCGCCGTCCCGGCGCCCCTGTGCCCGCAGCTCGCAGCCCAGTGCCCGCGGGCGCCCTCACGGAGACTTTGTGCGGTCCGCTCAGTCCACTTGTCCACTTAGCAACAGCTCCCGGCTAGCTTCAGGCCCTGGCTCAAGCTTTCGAGGGCTGCGGGCAGAGCCCCACGCATGTAGCCAGCGGCCCCTTTCGGCATGGTGGACGGGGAGGGAGAGAAACCCGCCTCTGCCCTGCTGTCACCAGCGCGCCAGGGGCGTCACCACTGAGAAGGTACGAGCTCCAACCTCCAACTGGAGCGAGCAGGTGTCGCCGGTGTGGCTTCGCTGAAGGCGGGAGAGGAAGATGGGGCGGAGCAGGGCCGCAGAAGCCAATTCAAAGCACCCGAGAAGCAGCAGTCAGCGGCCCTGCAATCAAAGCCGGCTCCCCGCGTCCCACCCCAGGCTCTGTTTCAGTCCGGCGACACCAGCAGTCACCTTTCAGAAAGTCACAGAACAGGGCAGAGTCTCTGGCGGCAGCCTAGACCCCTTACTCCACCGGCCTCGCTATCCAAAGAGTAGGGAGTGGCCGAACCCGCTCGCACAGCACAAGAGCGCGGGGAGAGAATGAGGGCAGGTCCCGACACTTCAGGTTGAGTTGGCCGCTGAATCCGGGCGGCAGGACCAGGTGGAGGCGCCTCCTTCCGACTCTCCCAACAATCAGCTCTACGCGCGGCAGCTGCTGCTGCGAGCCTGCAGCCGGTCCTGAGAAAACAGAAACAGCCTGTGAGCGAAGGCCAGGGCGCCGTCTCCGCAAAAGCTGGACTCTGTCTCCCTCTAGTGGGACGACGGCTTACAAAGCTTTGCGGGAGGTAGAACTTCCAGTTTCTCCACAGAGGAAAAAAAAAAACAGAATCTAGTTTCAAAGAAGTTTGCTTCCCCCCACCCCCCCCACCCCGAATTCCAACCTCTAAAGGCTTTAGCGAGGATATGCGCACTGCGGCTTTATGTAAGCAGTCTCCCAACTCCAAGAACTTTGTGATATTTACGAAAATGGAACAGCGCGACCCTGGAAGGTCATGTCCTCCATGGTTGGGTGATACTGGGTGTTGCTTTTAGCAGTACAAGTGCAAAAGAAGGGTGCTTCTAGGCTCATTCTGACCATGAGCAAACCCTACTCTAGTGATGAGATTTTGTGGTATTGAATTTAAAACTAAAAAAAAGGTGGGTTTCGAAATAGAACATAAAAACTGAGACAAAGAATAAAATGCTGATCCAGAGACTCTCACGAGTCTCTTACAGCTGTAGAGAACTCAAAGACCTTCTTTTGGAAAGAATATTCACTCATCTAAACTAATAATGATCAGTATGGCTAAATTTCTGCCAGTCTCCATGTGCTTTTATAGCTCTGACTCACAGAAACCATCTACAAACCAGGCACCACATGCTCCTTCCCCAGCTGTAGAAAGAATACCAGTTGTCATAATTACCAGGAAGTATGAAATATGTTTCATTTAGTAACTTTTATCTTAACACACTTAGTAACTCATCCATATTTTGTATTTAAAAGATGTCAACTGATTTAATTCGATTGAGGTGGTTGCTTTAAAAAAAGATAATTCCATAAGGTTTTGTTACTTCAGTCAAGTTCATACCAGGTCTCATCCATAAACTTTAATACTTACATTGTATGAACTCGCTGTTTGAATTGAGGGGTTGCTTCCAGATGCTTCTATATGCATAAAAACTATGAAATATATACATCAGAGTTATTATTATATATCTTTCCATTCACTAAATTTTTGGGATTCCATCTGACTTATCATAGACTTAAAATTTTAAAGTTTATTTTTTAAAAAAATTGAAAGTAATTGAAGTCATTTAAAACAAGAAGTCAAAACTAAATAATGTCAGTTCTGCCATTTTAATTCATTGAACTCTTTCTACTCCAGCTGGTCCTGCACACACCTGGTTCTGCAGATACTCTGAAGGTCTCGAAAAGATTCATGCAATGAAAAGTTCCTGTCATCCCACTTACATAGCAACTTCGTTCCCCAGTCAGCATAGTTTGTATTTTAAAACAGCTGGCACTGTCTTACTACAAATCTTCCACTAGTTTTCTGTTGTATTATATAGTAGTATGGAATCCAAACAGGAAAGACAATGAAAACCTGGACCCCACAATGGGATGAAAAGTCACTTTAAAAACATTGGCTCTTCATCCGCTCTGATGACCTGGGAAAGCAGTAGAGGACGGCCCAAAGCCTTGGGATCCTGCACCCACGTGGGAGTCCCAGAAGAAGCTCCTGGTTCCTAACTTGGGAACAGCTAGGCTCCTGCTGTTGCATCCATGTGAGGTGTGAACCAGTGGATGGAAGCTCTCCCTCTCTTTTTGTCTGCTTCTCCTTCTCTCTGCAACTCTTTCAAATAAAAAATAAGTAGATGAATAAAGATCTTTTTTAAAAATTGGTTTTTGTTTTCACAGGAAATAACCTAAATTCAAATTCATTAACTCTTGGTACTCAGAAAAAAATCCATAAATAGATTGCTAAGATGTTACTTTTATTGTTAAAATGTGGAATATATTCATCCTTTTTTTTTATTAAACTACCATACTTTTACCATTATAAAAAATCTTATTAAAGAGTATAAATGTGTGGGCGCAGGCAGACGCAGTGGCTTGATGGCTCAATGGCTCAACCTTCACTTTGGAAGCACTAGGAACCTGTATGTACACCAATTCGTGTCCCAGCTGTTCCACTTCCCATTCAAATCCCTGCCTGTGGCCTGGGAAAGCAGTAGAAGATGGCCCAAGGCCTTGAGACCCTGCACCCACATGGGAGACCTGGAAGAAGCTCCTACCTCCTGGCTTTGGACCAGCTCAGCTCTGGCTATTGCGGCCACTTGGGAAGTGAACCAGAGGATGGAAGATCTTTCTTTAGGTTTTTCCTTCTCTCTGTAAATCTGATCTGCCTTTCCAATAAAAATAAACAAAATCTTTTTTAAGAATATAAATGTGTAAATTAATTACAAAATACTATAGATTTTCTTATTCTTATTCTAAGTTATATGACGCTAAAATTCAGTAATCACCTTTGTGTTTTTTCATTACCCAGACAATCCCCAATAATTTTCAATATCAAAGTATCTCAGTCCAATACTTCCAACACTTTGAAACTGAATCTGTTGCATTCCTTCCAAAAACAAAAAGTAGAAAATATGCATCACAGTTTAATAAAAATCTTGAATTGATACTTATCTGCTAATTTAAACCTTTTACTTCCTCTAACTGAAGTAATAAAAATCAGTTTCTAAAATTTAATTTGGAGCTGGCATGGTAATGTAGCGAGCTGATCCTCCAACTGCAGTGCCAGATTCCCACATGTGCACTGGTTCCATTCCCACTTCTGATCCAACTCCCTGCCAATGACCTGGGCAAGCAGCAGAGGATGGCCTAGGATGCCTCTGCACCCACATGGGCCACTCCAAGGAAGCTCCTGACTCCTGGCTTCTGATCAACACAGTTCTAACCATTGTGGCCATTTCAGGAGTAAACCAGTGGAAAGAAGATCTATTTCTCCTCTTTCTCTCTGTTTCTCTCTCTCTCTCACTCTCTTTCTCTCTCTCTCTGAAGAACTAAATAAATCTTTACATATTGAATTTAAGTGACTTGTAACTCCAACATAGGTCTGCTTGTCACAAATGTTGCCAAAAATGTCACTACTATGTACCCAGTTCCCCTTTGTTTTCATTTTATGAATATGACTTTACTGAAGTAAAACTGAATGCAATAATGTAAATATTTTAGGCATACAACTTGATGGGTTTTGCATTCTGGTCATGTCCATGAAACCAATCAAAATACCAAACTACTCCATCCCCAAAAATGTCCTTGTGCCAATCTAGAAGTTGTGCCTTCTTCCAGTCCAGTCTCCAGCATCCACTGATCTAGTTTCTGCCACTATACATGAGTTTGCTTTTTCTGGAATTTATATCAACAGAATCAAGTATTATGTACTCTTGTTCTCAAGCTTCCTTCTAGCCGAGTAATCATCTTGAGATTCATCCACATCATTGCATGTATTAATAAATTACTGCATTTTTTCTGAGTAGTTTTCTATACTGTGGCTGCTTCACATTATTTAGGCATTTGCCTCTTAATAAACATTTTCAGTTTCTTCTAGCATGGGGATGCTACAAATAAAGCTGCTATGAACATTTGTGAAGAACTTTTTTGTATGAACATATGTTTTCATTTCTGAGAAAATATATAGTAATGGAATGGCTCAATCATACAGTCTAGAATGCTTTAAAACAAAAAGTGGGGCTTGGCGGCATGGCCTAGCGGCTAAAGTCCTCACCTTGAACACACCGGGATCCCATATGGGTGCCGGTTCTGGTCCCGGCAGCTCCACTTCCCATCCAGCTCCCTGCTTGTGGCCTGAGAAAGCAGTCAAGGACGGCCCAAAGCTTTGGGAACCTGCACCCGTGTGGGAGACCCAGAAGTTCCTGGATCCTGACTCTGGATCGGCGCAGTACTGGCCGTTGCACTCACTTGGGGAGTGAATCATCTGACAGAAGATCTTGCTCTCTGTCTCTCCTCCTTTCTGTATATCTGACTTTGTAATAAAAATAAATCTTTTTTTTAAAAAAGTGTTTTCTTAAGTGTGCCGTTTCACATTCCTATAAGCAATGGTAGAGAACATCTATGCCACTTGAAGCTTTCTGCTACAGACCTTATAGGTTATCTCAGCTCCTTGTCTCAAATCCTCAGAACATCCCTTAAAACAGATAACATAATGTTACTTCACACACACACACACACACACACAAAACCCCTTAAAGTAGAAAATATGTTACTTCACGCAAAAAAAAAAAAAAATTGAGACAGTTTTCCCATCATTAAATGTTGGGGCTAGGATTCAAATTTAGATCCACCTGAATCCAAAGTCAGTTTCTGCTTTTTGTTTGGTTTGGCTTTAGATTTGGGTTGGGTTCCCATCCACTCTCTAGTGTCCCATAATCATGTATGCCCTAATCCCAACAACAAAAGCACGCTGTTTCCTATATCATAGAGATATCAAAGTCATTTGGACCTGGATCCAGAGAAGCCTTGAGCCAAAGATCTTCAGTCCATGTGTAACAACAGAGAGAAGTTACTCATGGGAAGGACTGAAAGAAGTTGGCTGCAGGTCCCTTCATATTCTAGTAGGTAAAATGGTACTGAAACAATTGACCCAAAATACCTGATTCCTACGCGTAAGTGTGGAGAGGTACCACCTGTAAGTCAACCAGGCTCACCTGTCTCCTAGTTTTAATTTTGTATTAACCAATATTTTTTTTTCCTTTTGCAATAATGCCTTTCTTTTGCAATAACACCACTTATCTTTCACTACTGTACATTTTCCCCTAGATACACATATGTATCTGGTGCGTTTTGTTCATTTGTTTAAGAAGCAATGTGGCATAAATAGAACACCCATTCTTTTGTTTGTTCCCCGACTGCCCACAGCTGGTAGGGCTGGGCATAGTGGGATTCAGGAGGTAGAAATTCTATCTGGACCTCACATATGTGTTGCAATAACTCAATTACTTGAAAATTCCAGGATATATATCAGCAGGAAGCTGACTCTGGAACAAAGTTGAGATTCAAATATAGGCAGTCTGATATGGGATGAGGCTGTCTTAACTGCTAGACCAAATGGCTACTTCAGGAAATTTTTTAAATTGCAGAATACTTTCAGGTACTCAAC